TTGCTCGAGTTCTGATGCTCCCATTGGAGGAGCTTTCGTTGGTGGACAGGGGGTCAACGTGGGCACTCTGACCTGTCTGCAGCTACGCAGCAAGCTGTGACGCACTGTGTTCTGACTCCTTTCTGTCAGAGGCAGCATGATCTTTTTCAGCAGTTTGTGTTACGGTAGCTCTTCTGTTGGGTCGGACCAGACGGGCTAGCCTTCCCTCCCCAGTGAAGTTTGGGCGTGTCGCAGGTTCGCAGTTTGTCCTTCCCTGGACCACTTTTTGGTAAGTACTACCCACAGCACCCCGGGGAACACCCCACAAGACCTGGCGTTTTAGAGCCGCTCAGACCCGGTCGTCTAGCCATCACAGTATGGTCCCTGTAGGCTAAAAGTCGCTCAGATGCTTACGCTCGCCCATTTCCAACACATCAACTTCGAAAACTTGACCGCTCACTTGCCTCCTAATAAATATATCCCACCGCTCGACAAGTGCCATTATAACAAAATAATCGACGTTATTCACGCCACCTTGTGGTGTTCGTTTAATCTTCTGGTTGATCTGTGTCCATCATTTAACAAATAAGTCAACAAAATTAAAATAAATGTGAGCAAATCATTTGAATGAATTTGTGTGGAACTAAAATCACGTGCATTACACGTGAGTGACGTGTGAGACGTGTGTTATTAACCACACCTGTACGCGTGAATATTCACGCGTTCATCACTCTTGGATAGGCTACAAATATATCACATTACATTAGGCTATTGTATTCTTTTTTTTATTATTACCCCCCGTACTGCTGTGGGCGTGGTCAGCGAGGACTGTCGTCATGACAACTTGCCCAGCCACTAAACCGCTTGCATCACAAGCTGGCCCCCTATTGGCCGAACAGTGCACTGCACAGGACGCTCCAACTTTTCTTTTCCCTCCCTATCTAGTGCACTAACCTCCAAACCGGAGCGCCGTTTAGGATTGAACCTGTGCCCCTCAGGCATTAAGAAATAAATATACTGCTGGCTATTTCCGGTTCATTCTCTCTGTCAGCACACACACACACACACAGGTTTAAAAGAGGAGAAAAGTTTATTGTTGTACAGTATATAAATGTGTCCGAACACGTTGTTATTGTTATTATGACATGAATATATGCTAATGTTGTTTACAACAACCTGACAAACATCATTAGTGTTAAGACCTCCTTCATCAAGAGAAGTCATTTATTTATTCAAAAATCATCGTCATGATTAAAAAGCACGTATTTGAGTGTAGTTTTAGCTCCTTTCATCAAGTCCAATAGTGCAAAAAGTGTGTAAAAAAAAAACAAAAACAAAAAAACAACAACAAAGGGAAAACATTCTCTGGTGGCCACAAAGAGCTTACATCATAACAGACTAACATTACTAATAATAATAATAATAATAATAATAGAGCATAAAACAAATTCTCAAAAAAGTCTATTTACAGTTGTGTGTGTGTGTGTGTGTGTGTTTCCGAGTCCATGTCATTGGGTTAACTTTTCTTCTCTTTGAAGTCACTTCTTCCTCGCCGCCTTCTTGCTCGCCGTCTTGGCTTTGGGTTTCTTGGCCGCAGTCTTCACCTTCTTCTGCTTGGCGGCTGTTTTCGGTTTCTTCACCGCCTTCTTGACCTTCACTGGAGACTTCTTCTTCCTGTCCGCCGCCGCCGCCGCGGTCTTTTTAGTCACTTTCTTCTCGCCCGCCGCCGCTCTGCTCCTCTTCGGCTTGCCCGGGGACTTGGCGGCCACTTTCTTGGGTTTGGGGGCTTTCTTGGGTTTGGCGGCGGCTTTGGGTTTCTTGGCTTTCACGGCGGCTTTGGGTTTCTTCTTCGCCGCTGCCGACGTCGGCTGCTTCTTCGTGGTGGTCGGCTTCTTCTTCGTGGTGGTCGGCTCCTCGGCTTTGGCGAGCTTGAAAGAGCCCGAGGCGCCGATGCCTTTGGTGTGGCGCAGGAAGCCGGTGGCGACGAGCCTCTTGAGCGCGAGTTTAATCTGCGCGTCGGCGTTGTCGCCCACTTTGTAGTGGCTCTTCACGTACTTCTGGATGGACTGACGCGACGCGCCGCCGCGACTTTTATCCGCCACGACCGCCGCCTGGATCATGTCCGAGTATTTCGGGTGCGACGTCGCTTTCTTCGGTGCTTTCGCCTTCTTGGCTTTAGCCGCCGCCGGAGCCGCTGCCGTTTCCGCCATGGTCTCAACGAGTCCGGTTCTCGAAATCTATACAGCCTAGATATGGAACAAATACAAACGCGTCTCGCGCTGTCACAACTCCAAGAACGAAGAACCAACCGGCACGCGCAGATCACAAACTTTTTATTATCAAATAATAATAATAATGATGATGATAATAATCACGTCACGAGAGTCCCGTTATCAAAGCGTGACGCGTCCTGCAAGTGTGTGTGTGTGTGTATATATGTGTGTGTGTGTATATATGTGTGAGTGTGTGTTACGTGCGCGGTAGGAAGTCTAATGAAGCCTCGGCGCGGACGTGATTGAGAACACCAACGACCAGCAAGCTGAGTGAGCGTGCTTCCATGAAACCCGCGCGCTCCGGTTTGTGTTTGTTGTCGCCCGAACTCGCGCCGAATTCACGCGGGCCGCCACCGCGCGAGCTCCGCCGACCGTCCGGTCCGAGAGAGGACACTTCAGGCTTCGCGCTCGTACGAGCGTCCCGTCGGAGAGACGCGCGCGAGGAACTTTTTTTCCCGGAAAACCGACTCGGAGTGGCGCGCGCCGCCACGCATTTTGCCGGATTCGGCCCAAATGGACCCGAAACCGCGCGAGCCAGGATCACGACACCGCGCGCGCCGAAAAGCCGGATCATCGCTGAGCACGTCGAGGCGGGTTCGGCTCGTGCAAAACGCCGTTTAGGCTTTTAATCGGCTGACGGATTTGCCCAACTAACACAGTCCTCGGCGCGAGTCCGCGTGACGTTGTTGCTCTTATTTGCCGTTAAACCCGCTATAAATTAAACCGGCGTGAATTAAAGTGCTGCCGAAATCACGCAGGGGGCACGCACGTGCAAACAGCGTGCCCCGAAAATGCACGCACGCGCCTGCTTTTTGTGCGGAACGCCTAAATTCGGGTATTAATAACTGATGCTTTAGTACGCCGAGGCTCTCGGAGCTTGCTGCAGGAAAGTTGCCAACAGCTCACACCGGCCGTTCGGACCGGACACCGAGCCCCGGTACCGACAACAAGTCCGAGCCACATCAACACACTGCACGTGAACGTTATTAATCAGAGTGGGACGTGATTCACGGGGTCGTTCTGCACTCGCGCTTCAGGTCTCGCGCATTCTTTTGTTCTTCATCCTGCCCACAAACCCAGAGCTGCTGTCCCAGAGCCCCACGTTCCCACCACGCAGAGCTTCTCCAGCGCGTGCCCCTCTCACCAAATCATCCCCGTTAGAGACTTTTATTGTTGTTGTTGTTATTATTAAGGCATTTCTTTAGAGTTGTAACTGTTCAAGCGGCCTGTTTCTGTCCTCCCCGTGCTCACTGTCGGTGTTTTCAAGCCGCTCGAACGCCATCTTGGCTCTGCGTCGAAATGCAATTATTCCTACCCTTCACTCACGCGCTCAGTTTTCACGCTTCAATTAACTCAGCATTGTTGTTAGCATTAGCATTTGATGCATATTTGAAAGTTGTTGTTGTTGTTTTGTTTGAGGCAGTCGGTTCTCATGTGGAATTCACAATCGTTTTTGATCAGCCTGTGCACTCCAGAGAGCAGGTGTGTTTCAGCAGGGCGCTATGGAAACCAAGACTTCTGATGCGAGCACTGATTATTAATTCGTATCATTAATTGATCAGTTGTTATTGATTGTGCTTATAAATAAGTTCACGCTCCTGTAGTGTGCCGCGCACACACACACACACACACACACAACTGTTTCAGACCACTACTGCAAGTTTGAAAGCTTACACCTTGTATTAAAAAATGTGGGAGATGGGTAGGCTTATCCTTCATAGCTTTTTTTTTTTAAACCTAGAGGGGTTTTTTTCCGGGGGGGTCTGTGTGAAATCGCTCATACGATTCATCATAAAAACCAGAGTTCCAGAAGGGTTTGAGGTTACAGTACGGAGTCGGAGTTCGCCATTCTAGCTTCTCCGTCGTTGCATGTACTCGCCCTCGTTCGTAGATAAAGCTATGAATTTTGCATGAGGGAAAATTCATAGGAATGGAACTCTCAGGCCTTCAATACAAAAGTCTGATGTATTATTCCCTTTTTTCTTTTTTTTTCCTCTCCAATGGTCGTCCAACATAATTCCACACATCAAGCACGAAGGGACAACACGTCATATTGACAAAAACCATTATAAAGGAATAAAATATTACCGGATGTACTGTAGAAACCTACTGTACTGTAAATTGTTTTTTGGTGAATGAATTGACTCTTTTATCCGTTTGTTGTTCCATGGAACATCTTTTAAACAAGTTCCTGTTATGACTTGCATTATAGCAGATAAACAGTTGTTCCCTCGCTAGGCTTTTCCTGTTTCCTCTTAGTTATCAACGCCTGAAAACAACACAATATTTTACACAAACACCTGCAAACAACAACACGATATTTTACACAAACTCCTGCAAACAACAACATTTAATCATCTATATCAATAGATCAATCAATAGACTGACAAAAGAGAACAAAACTGAGTTTTTCATTTACTGTTTTTTTTACGTTTTCCTTTTGTTTATTAAGTATAATTAATGAGAATATATATATTAATAATTATGACAATAGAATTTCCTCACACAGTAAGACAAACGGTATTTCAGCTGTTTTGCCAGCAGGGGGCGATGATGCATTAACTGGCGGCCATTACAGCGACAACAGTGTTTCAGTTTTGAGTTTCTGTTTTATTTTATTCCTACCTTTTGTCTCTGTAAGACCGCAGACGTCTACAGTCAATGCGTTCAGTCAAGGGCTCGTCTAAAACGTGGTGACGATGATAATGATGATGATGTATATGATACCTCTCTCCGTGTTATTTCCATGTCAGAATGGCCGAGCGGTCTAAGGCGCCAGACTCAAGGTGTTAAACCTTCCTGTAATGAGGATTCTGGTCTCCACATGGAGGCGTGGGTTCAAATCCCACTTCTGACAAGATTTTTTCGCACTTAAAATCGCTTTTTAAAATCTCAAAGCTGTATGCGATGGAACAACTCGGCTTCTTTCATGTCCTTTTGGATGATTATTTCCCCCGAAGTTATTTGGGGAAATCAGTCACACACTTTTCTTCATGATATTTATAGATATCTGTACTCAGCTTGATAACTAGCTGGACCATACGCTAATTAATCAAATGTTTGGCGGGTTAATTCTTTTACTGCTCTTGTGTACACTCATAAAGAATTACATCCACCATTTTTGTTTGAAATCTACACTCATGTTGACTTGACATCCCTTCGTTACATTTTTAAAAATAATAATAAATCATCATAGACCCGCATGAGATGGTCTTAGGTGTTAGGTTAGTAGGTCTTTCAACCTGACTGTCTACATCCAGCCTATAAGCATCCAAATTTCATTTAAATCCATTAAACTATGCTAGCTTGAGCAGCTGGAACCAGCCTGACCAGTTAGAACCAGCCTGTAAGCGTCCAAACCCTCGCTTAAAACCATCAAACCAAACCAGCCCAAATAGTTAAGGCTGGATACCAGCTAAAACCAGCTAGCTGTTTACTGTGTGTGTGTGCACGCGTATTTGAACTTAAACCCAACGTTTATGTTGGCGATGTAGCCGAAATATCTTCGGTGTCCAACATCAGCGTCTTCAGAAGTAACACGCTAACGAGGACAGAAAAACGTTCAGCTTCCAGATTAGCATATCTACACCATCAATCACACCAACACACTCAAGATGGTGTTCGGGAGGTGTGGTGCGATGTTATTTTGACATTAGGTTAGCACAGTGCTAACCTGCTAGCTATAAACTCCCCTTACTTATTAACTAGATTGGATTCTTACAGTAGCTATGGCACAAAAGCTTCTTGCTGCTGTTGTTTTTTTTTTAAATTATTTTAAACTTGACTGAAGGGAAATTGAGGGTACATGTAATTTTAGATGACGATATGGGAGTTGATAAGGACATGTCCAAAGCAGTATTGGCCTGAAAACCCAACTTGTGCCATTAATATTTGTCTTTCAGCGTCTTTTATATGATTCAATTTATGCACATTGATTGAACTTAGTCAAAGGCAAACCAGTTTTTTTTCAGATAGGAGCTCTTTCGACCGTGCAATTTAATCTCCGAGTCGATACTCTTAGGCCAAGAGAGTATAATAAAAATGGACCATATATTGAATTAATGGTAGAAGTATTGACGTATTTTTAAAACCCCAATAGAAATTGTGTTGTTTTGGAGTTTTATTATTAGGTTTGAGACTAGGACTCCTGAGCGTACAGGACAGGTTAGTGTTTATTTATACTTAATACAGACTGTTGATTCACTGGGACCAATGTGCAGAAAAGGATTATGGGGGCATAAAAGAAAATGTTTAAAAAAGCGAAAGAAGTCCAGCTACACAGTGACTGGCAGGAGCTGACAGCCAATCAGGAGTCAGTGAGGACTGATAGGATTCCGCTGGCTTTCTTTTTTCTTGAACAGGTAAGACGTTTAAATCATTTTGAAGCCAGTGAGTTATCGAAGATGGCTGTGCAATTTGTATGGTTAATCAGTTGTTATGTGTATATTTTGTGTATATCGCCTTTGTGATTATATTCACTGCTTTGCGTGTTAGGATTGTGTCGAACGTGTTTGACAGGCTGGAGAACAAAATGCAATTCGATAATAAAATACAGACCTGGGAAATGCACAGAGGTGATTGTTGAGAGTTTTGTTCTCTCCAGTGTTTTCTGATCAGCTAGTTCGAGGCAGTCGGCCAGTTCGTGTCGATCGGCGTCATATTGTGGAGCAACCGCTGATGTGTGCAGTAAAGCTTGATTTATTCTCATAAAACAGCTGTAACACTGAGGAAGCAGCAACATTTAATTATATCCTCAGAGCCATCAATAACTTGGATCACGTCCCAGACCGAATACCACCACACTAATGAGTTTGTCAGGACGCTTTTGGTGTCATTATTATTTAGGTGAGCATTACGCGGTTTGGGACGCAGTCCTGAATTCGCTCTGAATCCTGAGCCATGGCAGGTGTGACACTTGATACTCGCGTTTCTAAATGCCAAAAATGCTTTCAAAAAGTAATTTTTTTAAATAGCCTGCAGTAGCTGTTTTCTACCACAGAGGGCACCGAGAAATTCTAAAATCTTCCATCTAGTAGCTTTAAGCACTTCATTCAGCCAACTCTGAATGGCATGCTCTCCATGATACACACACACACACACACACACACACACACACACACACACACACACACACACACACACACACACACACACACCTGACACATTCTCCTTCATACTTGGGTCTCCATATCTGTTTCTTTCTCTACTCTTCATACGTCACTCTGTAACATTGCCCTCCTCCATATCCGAATGATTCGCGTTCCCTGAGTTTGTAGGATTATTCATTCCTGTGTTTAGTGACTGATGAGTCACAGACAGACGTTTACTAATAATATTATTAATAATATGTAATACATGAGATGTTACAGCAAGCCGTACAATTACACTGGAATCTGTCAGATAGCAAACAATTGTCCTCTCTCTGTGTGTCTTCCAGACATCTCTCTGTCTTTCTGTCAGTCTCTCTATCTATCTATATATGTATCTGTCCATCTTTCTATCTGCCTGATTATATATTTGTCTTTTTTCTCTCTGTCTGTCTGTCTGACTGTCTATCTGTCTATTTATTTGATGGTCTTTCTGTCTGTCTGACTATCTGCCTGTCTCCACAGTATGTTTATCTGTCTGTTATTCTGTCCATCAACCTGCTGTCCTTCCATGTGCTCTACTGTCTATCTATATATCTGATGGTCTTTCTGTCTGTCTGTTTGTCTGTCCTTCTCTCTGTCTTTCTATCTGCTTGTCTCTATGTTTATCTGTCTGTCTTTCTGTCTGTCAATTATCTATCTATCTATCTATCTATCTATCTATCTATCTATCTATCTATCTATCTATCTATCTATCTATCTATCTATCTATCTATCTATCTATCTATCTATCTATCTATCTATCTATCTATCTATCTATCTATCTATCTGTCTGTCTGTCTGTCTGTCTGTCTGTCTGTCTGTCTGTCTGTCTATGTGTCTGTCTGTCTGTCTATCTATCTGTCTGTCTGTCTGTCTGTCTGTCTACGTGTCTGTCTGTCTGTCTATCTATCTGTCTGTCTGTCTGTCTACGTATCTGTCTGTCTGTCTCTATCTATCTGATGTTATTGGTTGTTTTTTTTCTTATAAATTTTTTAGTAACTATATATATTTGGATTTTTCACTTCCACCTCCTTCTCTCTCTCTCTCTCTCTTTATCCATCTCTCCCCCTCCCTCAGCCCCCTCTCTCTCTCTGAGTGTTTAAATAAAGGTTTGAAGTGAGTAATGAGGCCTGTGTGCTTCAGTACTGCGCTTCTCTCACTCTGGATGCATCTATTAAAGTTTGAAGTTGCCCCAATTTAATTCTGGATAGCAGCGGGTAAGATCACTGTAGATTTAATGCAGTCTGACAGGACGTTATGTCTCAGCGCTAACAGCGAGACCGTCTGTGGTCCATTTTTGTTAAAACTGCCAGTTACTCTGAACGTAACGCCTGTTATATTTGTTGTTATATATTTGTTGGCAGAGGGAATGTGTTTTTAGATGAGTGCTAGAACGTGCCAAGAGCTGAAGAACGTGGGTTCCATCTGCTTAATTTGAGGTATTAAAAATAAAGATAAAAAAAACAAAAAAAAAAACAAACTCAGACACAGACAGCCTGCTGAGGATGTCTAGATAGTGTAAAAGCTCATATTTAATTTCTGAAGAAGTCTGTTAGATGGAATGCACAAAAATGCATGTCAGCATTCGATCTTATTTTATATCACATTTATTTATTTAAAGCAATCTACAATGGAACCAGAAACCAGTCCAGAACTGAGCAAAAAAAAAACAGGTTGATCTAATTGTCTTGTCTTAACCATCCAAGACAAGTGTGGAGTTTCCAAAATGTACAGTTTAGTCGTAGCCTTGACATGAAATACAGGAGAACTTCACATTTCTTCTTCTTTAAGCAACGCATGATAAAATTGTCCCAAAGGTGAAAGGGCACAGGATGTGAAAGACGGATTTGTTAGCCATTAATTCTGTTTAGTCACGTACGTTTTATAGAACTTTGACTATAAAATGATTGGGTTTGCAGACGGTGTGCGCATGAAGGTGGGAACTGTGGTCTCTTAGATGAATTCGCATTTAATTAGTGGGTCAGTCCGTTTCAACTGGTCCAATAAGTGTAAAGTTGGTTGCTTCACCATTTTAAATTTTTCCCAAAAAAACCCCAAACAAATATTTATTTATTTATTTATTTTTAAATGAATGCCCACAAGAAGTTCTGGTGAAACAGCTGTTCACAGAAATATCTTGGCTCAGGACGGGCCGAGCTCCTTGGAAATAAAACCGTTCTCTAGAGTGTATTAGAAGGTTATGTACATGTATAAACATTTTGCACATTCTTGTTCTTAGACATAACTTAAGTCCAAGATTGCTCACAGTTCCCCTTTTATGGAAAATTTATAATGGGAAGTGTTCTCAGTCTTTATTTTTTTTTAGGTCGTACCTAGGTAAGTGCGCATGTACAACATTTCAGGTTTGAGTCTTTTCTTATTCTTTTATGGAGACGAGAGAGTGCAATTCTCCCAGCCAAATTTCCCTCACTTTCAGGTTGAATATGTCTAATGGGAGAACAGATACAAACCTGAAATTTTCACATAAATAAGTCCTCTATAGTAGCATTCCGCTGTAAAAAAATAAATAAATAAATAAAATTTAAAAATGTGAGTTTGAGGTTGGAGGTGAACTCTGCAGGACAGTGGGCCTCGAGGGTGAGATTTGAAGAACCTGTCTGATCTATCATGTTGGTACAGGTGTTCAGTTGGTATGAGTGAATAGATCTTTATCCAAATATGGCAGTACAGTGTTCAGTTGGGTGTTTTACAAATAAACAAGGACATA